GTTTGAAATAGAAAGACGCGTCGTCGCAAAGAGATCTCTTCGAAAAGAGACGGGATTCCCGCGTTTCCGCGAGGCGGGGGGGGGCGCGCGCCATCCCGCTCGCGGCGTCGTCTCGCGACGCCCGCCGAGAGGCGTCCCGTTTTCCTCCCTTTCCGTCGCGACGCGCGGAAACGTCCAGGGTGAAAAAGAAGTTCGGTCGAGAATAGACACGGTTGGGTAGCGCTCGCCGCGTCTCGTTTTTCACGTTTATGTTATTATTATTATTAATGTTACTCCCAACCGCGTGGAAAAGATAGAGAAAGCGGTCCGTTTCTCTACACCGCGTCGGAACGCTTGCACGCAACTCGGCGGCACCGCGCGCACGATCGTTCCGTGTTTTGAACCGCGTACTCCTCCACCTCGCCTCCTTGGTACGCGCACTCCTCTAGAGGTACGTTGCAGACGTCATGATTGTCGTCGTCGTCGTTCGGCGTCGCCGTCGTCGGACGTACGTCGTCGCAGGACTCGCGCCGCCAGTGCTCGTCGAGCAGCCGTCGCACGGCGGCCGGATACCTCCACTCGCCGTAGGTGATGGGCGAGTCCGTCCTCAGCAACTCGACGCACCTCTCGACGCCACCGAGAGCCGCGGGAATCGTGATGCACAGATTGGTTGTCGATTCGAGCACCGCGACGACTCGCTCGGCCCACTCGTTCTCCAGAACGTCCACGAGTCGACGCGTCCATTCGCTCCGGTGCACGTACCGGAACCACCTCTCGCAATCGTCGTACGCTCTCTCGCGAAGCCACGCGTACACCCGTCGTCTCGCGCCGCGAGGCCACGCGCTCACGTAATCTCGTTGGACCGCGACTCCCTGTCTCGCCGCGCGTTCGCCGGTTCCGCGCGCACCCAGCTCCCGGTCGCGCGGAAACCGCACCGGCGACACACGTCGTCGGCGTTCCCACGGCTCGTCGTCGTCCGCCGTCGTCCCTCCGTCGACGAGAACGCGAACGACGTCCTGCACCTCGTCGCTCGGGCGAAAGTCGAAATCTCGATAGCGTCTCTCGAAAACGTCCCAACGCGACATGCCGCGGGGGTGGGTCTACGTCAATACGAATTTTATAGTTCTCCGCGTACCGCGACGTTCGGCTGTCCCTCAAACACAAAAAAATATTGTATCGCCGAACGGCTCGAAGCGTCGCTCGGGGGGGGGGAGGGGGAAGCGACCTTCCCGCATCTCGATCCGGCCTTCGCGGTCGTGAAAAAAAGAAAATAAACTAGAGCGCGCACGGTCGGGTCCGACTCTCGCGTCTTCGACGACGGCGAAACGCGCTCGCGGGCCGCTTCGCTTTATACGCTACCGTCGGTGGGGTTGACAAAGGTGGGTCGAGATATCCCCGTTGAAAAAAAAACAAAAACACGCGCCTCATCGCGAAGAGAGACGAGAGATAGATTCCTCCTTCGGAGAGAAGAGATCGGAGGCAGCGTAGACGCGGGACTCGAAACTCTCGTTTCGTCGCGCTCGCTCTTCCTCCCCTTTATTTTCGCGTTCGGTCACTCGCGGTGGTCGTTCGCTCTTTCTCTCTCTCTCTCTCTCTCTCTCTCTCTTTCTTTCTCTCGACGCAGATTCGGTCCTTCGTTGCCTCGTCGAGTCTGTACTTGGTACCCTTTGAACCTACGCACCACACTCGGAATTCCTCTACATTATTGGATCTCTGCATTATAGATGATGAGGACAAACTTGTAGATTTCAAACAGCGAGATGTCTGCTTTCTTTCGGCGCATGACCTAATCGAAATTTCTTATAATATCAAGATCCAACGTCACATCGCGAGGACTATCAAGGTCAGAGATTTCAGAGGCTTCAATGTAGACAGTTTTATCAAC